CACCATGAGCGGAATGAAAATAGACTTGACTGTAACAGAGGATATACTTCACATCTCAAAGTGGTACCATTCTGTGGTCAGTGGAGCGGATTTGATCCTACCTTGATTTAATATCAGTCCATGAACTCTCACTGAGTTCCACAGCTACTGACGCCAACTGACAAATACCAGGCATTGTGCAGAACAGTGACCGGATCCAGAGGACAGGGTTAGAATCTTTATGTGTGTCCCGGTCTATGTCTGTACCGAGAAACACACTGGTGTACCTGGTATTTGTTGGGCGTGCATGTCAGTGGCTGTGGAGCGTTATTTTCTGAGAAAGTGTTTGCAGTCAGAGATCAATTCAAGTGAGAGAAGGTGTTCTAAACAATAAAGTGACACTGCATATTTAGAATAAGCATGGCTCAAGGACAAAAAACAAATTCCCTTACAAACATTCAGTCAAGTTGTAAGTCTGAAAACATATTTTTGTTTTCCTTTACCAGGAAACTTAAGGACTGATACTTTTTGCCCCATATCACTGACTGGATCTTAACTACTCTCATTGTAACCAGGGCCCAGATTTAAAAACGTATTCAGCTGGACATATGAATTAGACTCAAAGATATCAGATTAGAGCAAATCTTGAAATCAGATTTTTCAAAAGCAAAAAAAGACAACCAAATCAGACAAGATCAAGGGTCTCATTTATAAAAGAGTGCGTAGAATCCATACTAAAAATGTACATGCGCCAAAAACCCGGAAATGGCGTGCGCACAAAATTATTCAGATTTATAAAACCGTTCATACGCACACTTCCACGCAATGTTCCCTTTATAAATCACGATCCACCTGGAAATGTGCGCACGTAGATTAGTCCCATGTTCCGCCCACAATCAACCATGAACGGTCAATGCAAAGCAGCTCATGAATGAAAATGCATACAAAGGAGGGGGCAGATCAAAGGTTTCCAGCGCTGGATCGCGGCGAAACCCGGAAGTTTCTGAAACTTTCTGACCCAGAAACGGAGGAGTTTGTGAATTAAGTGAAGGATAAAATGGACATATCAGTAGTTTACTGCAGCAGAAGGATCAAAAACTGAAGAAAAATCAGAGAATGACACCATGTCGCTGCTGCACTCACGCTGTCCTCCTACAGCGCCAAAACATCCACCATTCATCATTACGCACGGCACGAGTATATCTGCAATGTTTACATGTTTACGGGACCCACACTGACTTCTTCATATTGTCAGTTTCAGACCCCGTTTTGTGCGTACGCAACGGTTATAAATGAGACCCCAGGTAATCTAATCTTTCTACCAGGATAAAACCTCCACTTAGTGTTGTTGAAAACGTTTGAGCACAATTGGTAAGAATGATAAAAATAAAAGTAAATCAGTAATCCTGCAATGATGTTGATTGTCTTTTTATTTTTGGCACTTTGGGTTGTAAAACAATAGTGGAACATGTTCACACAAACTCATTCTCCAAATAGCTATATATATATATATATATATGTGTGTATATTTTTACTTTTGATTTAAAGACGCTGTGAGAAACGTTTTGTTTGTGTGGATCCTGTAACCCCCTGTGTATTTATTTAGTATTTAGGATTAATTCACATTTAGATCACTGGTAATGCACATTTGGTCATCTTTAAAAGTCCAATCCTATCCAATTTATCTTTAAATAAACAGGGGAATGATAAAAAGGTTTACCTGATCATCAAAAAGAGGATTTTCAAACTTGGATCATTCATTACCAGATTAAACCTTCAGATAAAACAATCAGGCCCTGGAGATTAACTGAAACAACACATGGAATAAATCATGACTATTTTTGTATTGGCTTGTATTCACGTATGCAGGATATTAACCTCTGCCTCACTCTCTACAGGAGTGATGTATAGCTTCAGAGCTGTCAACCTCTTAACTCATAGAACAGCTGTTAGCCAATCAAGGCTTCAGATCCTCTCCTGATCCCTTCTGTCTGCTGGCAGGGTGTTTTGTAATCTGAATAGTAACTGTGCCAATGGGCGGACCAGATATCAAACACGAATCCACCGTGTCACAATGTCCTCCACCCCCTGCCCCCCTCTCTCTCTCGCTCTCTCTCTTTCACTCTCTCTCTCTCTCTCTCTCTCTCTCTCTTTATCTGAAATCAAGAATGTCATAACCTTCCAGCCATTTTTAGTTCAGGTCAGGTTTCTATGGTAATCCTGACATTTTCAAACAGACTGAAATGAAAAAAAATGTAAAGTCATGTTTGAATAGAGATAATAGGTAAAAATGTTCTAAATATCCAACTAATTTATATCTATATTTATATTTTCAATATATGAAAATAGATTTTGAATCAACTTCTTGTATTTTGATCTTTACTTTGTTTGACTCATGATTTGTTTGTAGCATATGGTTTAGTAATATTTACACAGAGAGCACAAGAGTGTAAAAGAAAATGTCACAGAATTTCGACCGTTAAATAGAAGAACAAAGGTTATTTTTTTTTAGTTTAAAGCATCAACACTGAGATGTTTTTCTTTTTATGATGTCTGGCCTTCATACAGCATTATCCAATGATCATTTTAGACGAATGGTGAAGGTTATTTTGTTTTGAAGACATGGCAGCCTATGTCAGTTGTTTACCTGCCTTTTGCCCAGTGCATGCTGGGACTGAGACCCAATATAACCCATACTTCAATAACTGTGTTTAGACAAGTTGGGAAATGAAGCTCTAGCTAAAGTTCAGTATGGATGACTACATTTACAATTGCTCATTCTCATACTATGTTGCATAGTGTGCATGCTATAATATTTTCTAATAGTCATCAGCTGTTCTTATCCCATCTTCCTGTCAAACTCCAGTCTTCTTGGCTTGATCACCTTCTCCATCTCATCAGCCTCGGACGACATCATCAGCCAACATCACAACCACCATGGTCTGGACATCGCAGAGGATAAATCTGGCTCATGATTAGAGCATAAATCCTACAATCCCCCTTCTTCATTTGATTGAAACTTTGTTTCATAAGATTTCACAGATGTTGCCTCAGTATAATTTGAGTTTGTTTAACCTTTGTTTCCCAGGTTTATTTTGAAATCCTAGACTTCTAACTTTGGAATGATCACCTGAACACTGCATGATAGTTAAAGCTCAAAGAAAGTAAACACCCAAAGTTGGACTTCTCATGTGCACCAACACCGAAATCAATGCAGGGAGAGCATGTCCACCACATTCAGCCAAATAGGATTTATTTACACAAACAAATCTGTAGGTGAAAATAAAAAGATTTTGCCAGAGATACAAAAAAAAAGTTGCAGATAACCAATTCTCAGGCTAACAATTAAATTACCTAAAGAAATAATAACCGAGTTTTCTCAGACAATTTGTATGTCCATTTGTAAACCATAAATATAGGGGAATTGGAATGTTTTTCTTTTAAATCTTCATAAACACTGAGTATACTTGCTTTACAAAATATTCCTTAAAGAAATGTTTTTTTATGATGCAATTCTTAGGGCCATGTTTTGATTTTTGTATTTCTATTTGGAGTAATCTACAAGCCAAGACCCAGAAACCAGAGTTTTAAGTTTTGAAAAAAGAAAATATCCTCCAGAGAACAAAAGAACAGAAAGTGACAGAACAAGCTCAAACCAGAAGTTGGACAGGCCATTAAACATTTTATTTGACTTGTAAGAGAGAGCATGAGAACAAAAAGGCCTCCAGGGGGCATAAGCAGAGCATTAAACCCTCAGCCTGGATTACCAAATTATTACCAATATCTCCAATCAGGAAGACCCTTAACTGATTGAATTACTCTGTTGTTCACAAATTAGTATAATGAGAGACTTAATTTTACCCATTTTTGGGAAAACTTAAAATCCACCCTGACTGGCCTTCCATCTCCAAATAAAGTTGACCCTATCCTGTGGATAATATTTAACTTGAGAAAATCGATAAAGCAAATGATTAAAAATAGCGTCTATGTCAACATGTTCAAAACACCAACAGCTGTGACCAAGAGAAGGAACCTGAAACCTCTAAAAGAACATTTACCTTTTATAATTCTCAGTGAAGCTTTTCCATATTTTGGCATGAATATGTGTTTAGCACTGTTCAAACTAACATGTGTGTCCATATCTAACTACTCATTTGAATTTTTTTTCTTATCTAAATGGCAGATTAATATAATCCCATCCTCTTTAACATAAAGGGGAACAGAAGGCAGTGAGTTCTAAGTAAACAGCATCATTGATTCATTAACACCCTAAGGTGTTAGAGGGGAGATCAATCATAATAACATCATTATAACGTCATCACAGCTCATTCAAACTGGGTTTGACTAATGATCCTCATTATGCAGCACTCCCCATACACATTTGGTCTTTATTTTCAAATCTACTTTTTAGATGATTTTCAAAGTTCCCCATAAATGTGTAACCTGTATGCTCTCTCACTGTTAACATTAACATTTAATTTTGCAAACAAAGGTTTTGGTTGAGGTATTTAACTGTTGAGTGATTTAAACGTCATCCCCCCCAAAAATACATTTTTAAAATTTGTGAAAGTATATTAGTTTGGCAAATTTTTCAAAATAAATTCCAAATGTCATATGAAGCCTTCACTGTGATTTGCTCCAGAAATTTTTCATAAAACTTTTTTCATCTTCTTAGAATTTGACTTTTTCACCTTCTACAAAGTCATTATGACTACATTATGGGAATCCCAGTCATGCTAGGGAAGAGTCATTTATGCAACAGTCTGCTGTGACTCATGTGAAAATCATCTCTCACACCAGTAGGGGTCTGTCATGTTGCTCAAATAGCAGCTGAAGCAACAGGCTGAGGCCTTCCAGCCATGAGGCTCATGCGGACGACACTCCCCTGTCAGCTGGCCAGCAGCCAGTTCATGTCTGTGCTGATTGGTTGGCATGGAATTCCTCTAAATTCTCATTGGCTGCTTGAGAAACCAGATGACAGCATATGCAAATTGTCTCTATGTGGCAGTTGAAATCCCAGAGTGCTGAGCAACCCTGGCACTGAAAGGGAAGGAGAGAGCGAGAACAGAGGAGGAAGAAAAGGGGGAGTGACGAGAGCATGCACTTTTAGAAGAAGCAGCTCGATACATTTCTGGAAGTCAAAGGGACTTAAGCAGTTTTTCAAAGTCCTTTTCTTCTTGGAACCATCCATTTCTTGAATGAGTGCGACTAGGTAAGAAGAAAGTTACATACATTATATAAATTTTTGCAAAAGTGATACATGCAATGTCAAAATGCAGAGATTGAACATCTGTAAGTTTATTTGTGAAGTTGACTTGGTTTTGGAATCTATCTAATCTTATCAAATTAGAAGTTTGTAAAGGTCAGAAAAAAAACAAGGTTACTTTTGAAAAACTGAATTCAATGGACTTTGCTCTAAACTCCTTTGTCACTCTTCACTCAACTCCCTTCTTCTCCTCCCCTCTCCCTCTCACAGTGTGCTCAGGTCTTTCAGTCCATCAGCAATGCCTGGTCCAGTCATGCCCATAGACGTGGCTATGAGGTTCTACATTAGCCACTCTCCCCCGCCTCTCCGCGGTTTCCTGAGCTCCTATGAGGATCTGCAAAAGGCCAAGAACCGGGTCAATCAGACGAACACCTACAGCCAGAAGCAGCAACTCTACAAACCCCTGCGGCCCTGCCTCAGCAACCAGCAGAAAGCCGTGGATGATGGCAGCTGCGGGGGCTGGAACAACAACAAGGCCGGCAAAAAGAAAGTGGTGTTCGCAGACATGAAGGGAATGTCACTCACAGCCATCCATGTCTTCTCAAAGTTTGACGATGAGCCATATCGGAACAAGCGTTGTGGGGGAATTGCAGAGGACCTGCAGTTTGACATGATAGACCTGGAAGCAGCCACAATGGATCTAAAGATCAGCGCAGTGCGTAGCCTGGTGCTGGACTTTAAACAGCCCTCAGCAGACTACCTGGATTTCCGGAACCGCCTGATTAAGAATTCAGTGTGCTTGGAGAACTGCTCACTTCAGGAGCGCTCGTTGACCGGAACCATAAAAGTCAGAAACATTGGATTTGAGAAGTCGGTGCAGCTGCGCACCACGTTCGATTCTTGGGTCAGCTTCACCGACATTGAATGCACCTTCATGAATAACGTCTACAGCTGCCAGGACACTGACACCTTTGCATTCGTCCTGGAGCTGCCCACTCACATCCCACCACAGAATCGGATCGAGTTCTGCATCTGCTTCAAAGTCCAGGACCAGATCTTTTGGGACAACAATGATGGCAAGAACTATGTTCTCAAGCGAGTTGGCTGGAATGGAGAGGAGCTGAACATTGCGAACCCCCAAAACTCTGCTGAGCAGAAGAAACCATCGGAGCACAAAAATGGGGGTGTGAAGGTGCTGGAGATGGAGTTTGATCAGTTTGGCAGCCCACGCATGTCCAGCGGACTCTTCCCTGGCTGGCAGAGCTGGGGTCAGATCGATAACGCTGTGCCCTATTGGTGAAAATACAAGGATGTTTGCTGAAACAGTACCGAAGTAAGATAACAGAAATTGACAGGGCATTCAGTACGAATCTAGCTGTGGTTTTCAGCTTAGACTGGCCCTCAGCCAGAAGCCAGGCTGAAGCAAACAACCTCTGCTTTTTTGGCAGGGGTAGTCCACAAACCAGACAGAAACCCAGCTGTAATGTGTTCAACTGACCTGCTTTTTGCTGTAACACGGTTCTTTGGCCTGAGAGACTCGATGATCTGTGGTTTGGGGACGGAGGATGCATGGGGGACATTTTTTTTTCATGATATACATATTCCTCTTTTGTAAAATATCAAAGTGCCTTGTCAGAGTGCCTGTCCACGGAAACACAGACTAATTGTAAATGATGCACTGATTGAGATGTCCCTCTCAATGTGATGTCTGTAAACTGAAGAAGTGGAGATGGAGCTGATTAAGTCCTTCATATTGAAGGGAAAGTACAGGGAGTGCAAGGCGAAAAAATGCTTCTCTACTAAAAGGAATGTAGCTGATATATTTCAAATAAAAATGCACACTAAACTTTTGCACCTTCAAAGCAGAAAATAATTCAACATGATTCAAAATGGCCTTAATTTTTTTTAAATTTGAGTCATGCAGCCCTTTCTTTCCCTCCGTGTAAATTGCACATGTTTATCAGATGAATTGTGTTTGGCTGATTGAAGTGTTTTAAGGAACTGAGCTGCTATCAACAGAAGTGTCAAAAGAGAGACTCTGCATGTGATTGGTTGTCTTGAACAGGGAAGAAGTTTGGAAATGTCTGTGGTTACGGTATGTAAAAAAAAAAAGGAATGATGAAAAGATTGGATGTTTTGTATTTGCTTGTTCTCACGAGTGCAATTGTGTGATGGTTGTACAGTATGTGTGGCTGGAATTGAAAGATTTTTTCGTTGTGAAGAAAGGTCTGTGCCCAAGAACTTTTGTGTTCACTTGAAGGTGTGCGTTGCTGACACGCAGTGTCAGTGCTGTATTTCCCTTTCTGAAATAAATTTCTATATTTGTGCAAAAATATTCATGACTCCTGACCAATTTCTTACAATCCACATACATGTAATTCTTAAATATGAAATGTTTAAATCAGGTTTTGGTAGTTCTTGTACAAAATAGTTTTGAAATGAAAACCTCATCAAGGAAAACACTAATGCAGCTCTATCATATCTACACAGCTACATGTGAGATAGTCTCTCCACTCAGAAAACAATTGTTACAATGTAACATACAGTTTTTATATATAATAATCCATCCATTATCTTTACCTCTTTTGCCATTTGGGACCATGGGGGGAATGGAGCCAATCCCAGCTGTCATTGGGCGAGAGACAGGGTACACCCTGAACTGTTTGCCCGTCAATCGGAAGCCATGTCTAAAAATATTTTGGCTAAAATTTAAAATAATAAAAATCAAAGCAGAAAATATTGATAACACCTTTCATGTTTTACTCAAGGCAAGTAAAGACGTTTTCCTACACTCTCTGAGTTGACACAATAACTTGTCCATGTTAGGAATAAAGTATAAATCAAATTACTGATCCAAATATAAACAAACACATTTCAAAATAAGAACCACCTACGATTTCAAAACATGCTAAAGTCATTCATGCTTTGTCACTATGTTAAAATGTTTGATTACATAAGTGATGTTTGTAAACATGTGAGCAAAAAAAAGTATGTTTACAAACATTGGAGTTTCGTAAATCACGTTGAGCATGCAAGTATAAAATCAGAGGCCCGACCTTTCCTTACCTCAACAATAGGTTAAAGACAGTTGTTTGCGTGAGGGCGGGATTTACTTACATTCTATTTTGTCCTACTAGTATAAATATAATATAACAAAATATGAAATAGTCAATGGGAAAAAAATGCAGACAGACATATGATTTGTAATGACAAAATGTGTATACAGACTGTATCAGAACAATGTTTACTGAAGACATATTTGATTTGATTTAAACAACAAAAGGGAAACAACTGCAACATGTTTTTCATTATTCAAATTTGCTTTTGATAAATTGATTCAATTCTAAATGAAACTTTCAACTATATTAACAACCATTTCTAACCTTAAAAAAGTGCTGTTGTTACCCAAACTTCATCACTGACAAAAGTGTGGACACAAACTCTGGACTCTTGTCTGGGCTCTTGTTTCAAAGGTCTATTTCACATAATTTCTCTGAGCCATGTTGAACAACTCTGGCATTTAAAACCCAGATATATAGCTCCACAAAGCAGCTTGCATCAAACCAAACATGCCCAGTCCAAGTCAATGGCGCAACAGGTTACATTTACACTGTGAGGTCAACAATGAGTCTGGTGTGACAAAAAAACCTATCCAGTGCACAATCTGATCTGATCCCCAGTCTGTTAGGGAGCTTTAAAGCCTCTATGACACAATGGTACAATTTGGCAGAGAAGATACATCTTTAATTCATCATCAAGAATATAAAGTGAGATGATAGCAAAATTGCCATCACTGCTACATTATCTGCTCTTTCCAGGCAGCCATCTCCTATAACAAGTGATAAAGACATGTCTTTTGTTAGTTATAATGAAAGGTGGGGGGTGGGGGAGGGGCCCAAGACTTGAAAGGGTGTACACAGGTAAACCTCAGTGGGTCTGGCCCCCTTATGCCCATGCATAGTGCAAAGTGTCAGTTCTCATAAAGTGGTCAGTGTTTGGCAGCAGCTTGTAAAATATAATGAGCTATATGTGTTACTTCACTACACCAAAGTGACCCCTAGGAGAAATGTAGCAAGCTTAGCTACAGCAACACATTAAAAGTAACTCACTCTAAGCTATTGATAGTTTTATGTTTAATCAGATTGATGCATACTAAAATTAAAAGCTTTTTCTACATACATTTCAAGGAAATAACTTTGGCCAGCTACTGAACACTAACATCACTGCCCTACCATTGTGTAAGTTGAACGACTGTTTTCATTGACTTAGATCATTAGAGTTGACAGCTTTGATTGCAATGTTTTTGTGAATGCCCAAACGATGGGTGTGAAAAAGAACTTCCATTATGCGTAGACTATCTTTGGTGCTTACTTAAATGATGGACAATTAACAAAAAATGCTGACTGCACCTGTGATAGTTAACTCAATAGAGGTTGGTTATTTTGGCTTGTTAGGGCATCACCTGCTTGTATGTTCCTCAGGTGTACTCAGGTGATCGCCTGTCTGCACCAAAGCCAGCAGTAGGTAGGCCATGAACATTGAGGAGTAGACTGTGATCTCACTGTCCTATGGAAGCATACATTCCGCAACAAACATCCGTTTATCAGTGTGTAGCATCTTCTACTCATCCATAAAAGTTTGATTTTGAACAGTAAAAGAACACTACACTGCGTATAACCTTTGTTGTGGGAAAAGCTTGTTTAGACGCTACTGCACTACTAGTCCTACTACTCCTACTGAAAGGCTATTTAAGTTAGCGACGCTACCATAAAGCCACTGAAAAATGTTGGTGAACTACTTACAACACTAATTTTTGTCATGCTGTTATTGCCCAACACTGGAACTAGTTTGTGTCGTTAAATTTAGGCACAATAAAGAAATACATTTTACACTGGAATAGAGTCATAGTCAAGATGAAAGTAACTTGTCCATTTACCCAATCATTAACCGCCAAAACATTTTCATTCATTCCACTGTCACAATCTAAAAAAAGCCTAAATAAAGTATGAGCTGTAAATAAAAATGTCCTCTCTGATTTGATGGTTAATGTTGGGGCATTGTGCCAAATTTAACTGGTCTTTACAATAATAATTCATTCATTCATTTATCCACAAAGACTACAACCAAAGCCTCTTCATGTTCAGATTTTGCCGTTATTTTAGATACCTTTTCACAGTTGCTGTAAAAATCCCAGTGTAAACACATCAACTCATGTATCATGCCAGTGTTCAGGTTAAAGATTATACCAGCCTTTATAGATTATACCAGTCAGTTTATATTGACCTAGTACAACAACAAACTACACACTTAGTCCAGTAAATGTTTAAAGATCTATTTTCAAAACCTGACCTGAAAATCAAATGTACTCTGCACAACCAATACACTACATACATCTCATCCCCAGTGCCCTGTTTTTACAGACCCATACAAAATCAACTTCAAACTGCATGTAACCAAACTCCACATTTAAACACACACATTGACAGAACAGTTATCAAAAGTATGCACTTTAACCCATTTATTTTACATATGGAATTAGGGTAAACACAATAAATACATTTTAAAAAGGGGCCTTCAGGCCTTTTTCTTTTGCTTCCTCAGACTCATTGTCTGTCTCCATAATGGATTCATATCCAGCAGGAAGAATGCTCAGTCCTTTTCTGTGGCATGCACAAAGGAAAGCCCTCAGGCTGGACCAGGATGACCTGCTGAAGCCTGAAAATTCCTGCTTTATCACAGTTTTAACCCTTTGACTATAGGCTTTCTTGCTTTACAGGCTTGTTTTTTCTGGGTATTTGCTATATATACAGAGAATCTAAAGTAAAAGCACATTAGAGTATCATAACATTAGAATTTCATGGGTCCCAGCAGCAATATTTTAGCAGATAAACATGTCATTGTAGGATCTGATCTACACAGTTGTATTGTATATGCAGGTACATGTAGTTCAGTGCTTTTACACGTGTTGGTTTTGAGCTTAATCTTTATTTTTCCTAATGTGACATTCCCCATCATCAATTGTATACATCAAAAGAAACAAAATACAAATGCAAATACATAGAAACTGAAAGTTTAAACTTCAAAACCTTGCACAAAACATGTTGTGTGAAGTATACTGTACATGCAATTTCCTTTGATTGTCTAATACTTTGTTGGACAGTCTATCAGATTCCAGTAAGATTTTGGGAGATAAATCTGACCTGAAAGATCACAGACATGCTCCTCCAGTTCTCACTATGAGGTTTAATGTGGAAAATGGAAAAGTTGATCCCATATCAGCTTCAAAAGACATGTTCATCCAAACTCCATCTGGCCTCAGGCTCTAGCTCATGTCCACCTGCCCAGTGACTGATCCACATTCCTTTATTACCTGTAATATCCTGGTGGATTATTTTAAACAGCATGTTTCTCTCTTACCCTCCATGTTTCTGTTTTTCATTCCCTCTTTGCATGTGTATGAAAGTATGTGTTTCAACAGGAGTATTCACTGTCTTTCTGTTTATTTCATTGTCTCCTCTCATATCCTTTTGGCAGTTTTGTTTTTCTGCATTTCATGCTCCTTTCTTTTTTAATGCCATTGATTAGTTCAGAAAATATGTTGGAAAAAAAATGAAGGAAATGCCAAATGCTTTTAACAATTGAGTGTTCAAACATGGAGCGACATTTTTGCGCTGTAAGACATTTGAAATGTCCCCTTCAAAAAAATTGTTGTATCAACTAAAACTACCAGTTTGAGTTATCAGTAACACAATGTGTTCCACTGGGTTCAACTTTAGGCACAGTTTCTTTTACCATTTAAATCAAGAACATTGTCTCCTCTTTAGCAAAACTGATTCTCATTATGCAGATGACACATTGCTGTATGTTGTTGTTTAAACTCTTCATCTTTCTGCTCAAGACTTGCATTATTGCCCATAACGACCCTAGTCGGAGTGCTGAAGGAACAAAGTTCCTTATTTTTCAAGAGCCAGAGTTATTTATCTCAAAAATATATAAGCAACAATATAAAGATTTAAGCACACGTATGAATAACTCCTATTTTCAGGTCATATAAATAATTTTGTTTTGCAGAGTCAGACAAAGATTGGCTATTTCGGCAGATCTAATATTATCTTCCTCATGCTTTTAAGACAAAGGGTTGTTTTAAATAGTGTTCATGTCAGTCTTATCGAACTGCATAGGGCCTCCATACTGCTGCATGGTACAGAGAAATTGCCGGTCTCACCAATAGAGAGTTATTGATTAATTGGATGCACTACCCATCAAGCGGTTGTCATGCAGTTGATGTTAACATGCATTATTTTGAAGAGATGCGAAGCTAACAAGCCCACGCCG